TATCGGGGAAGAGATCCCTAGCCTGGATCTGGACGAAAGCAGTTTATGAATCCATTAAGACCAAAAAATGAATCCTTATAGTGCTCCATTAGAATACTATCTAAAAATTATTTGTGATTCATTGCAAATTGTTGTGGAGTATAATAAGAGTCCTTTTGGTATGCGAAAGAGGGCTCCAAATTGGTGACATAAAAGTGAGTTCTTTTGGAACTCTTAAGAATAAATTTAGAATAGAAATGGGACAGATAAAGAATTCATTTCATAATTTGGGAATTCAAAAAGAATTCTTTGTGGATTTAGTCTTCATGGCTTCCGGATGGTTTCCGCGTCCGTTTGCTGTGTGGTGCCGACGTTTCGCAGGCGTTGCAGTCTGCTTCATCAGGGCTGGGAGATTCTGATACTTCTTTTTGGATTCTCTGTGCTATCTGGGATATTTACCCACACAGCAAAACAAGCAGAAAGCTCTCCTATAGATGACTTGGAAATTAATATTGAAATGTAAAATTGAAATCTTTCAGAAATATCTTTGAAACGTTTCATCAAAATCACATGTCATTGAAAGCTTTCCAAAAGATACCTTGGAAATTAATATTGAAATGTAACATTGAAATCATTCAGAAGGATATCTGAAACGTTTTATCGAAATCATTTATGATCCTTCTTACTGTAATATTTCAGAAATATTACAAAACATTTCAGAGAAATATTTCATACGTAATCTCTAAAATATTGAAAGCTATCCAACATATAACTTGGAAATTAATATTGAAATGTAATATAGAAATCATTCAGAACTATTTCTGAAGCATTTAAGAGATATTTCCGAAGCATTTCAGAAATATTTCAGAAACATTTATATCTCATCTACGCGGACATTTCATGTATCTGAAACATGTCTGAATATTTTTTTGAAAGGTTTCATATTTCATTGACAGCTTTTTGAGAGCTTTCTGAAATATTTCGGTGCTGTGTGGGTATCTATGTATTGTCTGTCATAGATATCCATTAGACATCTATAATAGATTTACAGACGATATACTTATCGCGGAAATAATATGGAGTTCTATTAGAGGTTGTTTGGGAAATTTCCTCCCTTTCGAATCTCGTCATGAGAACGAAAGATCGCGAAATCTCCGTGAGCGCTGCGAGTGGATCGGGGAGTGAGAAAGGACGTGCAACGTGGCGAGAATGACTACGATTCAGTTTCTTTAAAATGAGTTGAACGTTTAATTGTATTTACACTATGTACAGTTGAGATTTACCGAGGCGTATGATTGAGGTGAGCGAGTCCGTCGAGCTCTCTTGTTCGCACAAGACCGTCGGGGATGTGCCGCCCGTTGAGCCGGTGGCCGGCTACAAGCGAGCGTGCACGTACAAAATGAGAGGCCTTTGCGCAGAACACCGATGCACTCGACTTGAGCACTTAACCAATGATTCTGTCCCGGGGTGAGCCCTAATTATCAATGTGAGCGAACAAGCACTGACATCGCACTTATTCCCGTGAGCGCGAGCGCGATACTTTTCGTATGTCGATGCGAACTTTACCACAGCTTACACCGGCTGCTTTCACACGACTGATGAGCTCTGTGAGCTTGCGCGCAAGCCCTCGAGCCATGTTCACGGGCCCGACACGTGCTCGTTACCCGGTCGCGCGGTCGCGCGCGCGGTACCACTGGGCCTCGCGAATAACCGTGAGATGGCGAGGGCAGTACAATTGAGATAACTGGAGGAATCTCAAACATTTCCGCCCGCCATCAGCAATGAGGTTGATGATGAGTCCACTCCTACGGATGTTGAGCTTGGCCTTGATGAGCAATGGGCAGCGGTGCTAGCTTGGTGATTGGTCTGGTGAGCGTCGTTGTGGGTGTCTTCAGGGTCACCACGCGGGTGAGTCCATCCTTGGCTGGCATCAGGGTGGAGACTGGCTAATGGCCACTTACATGGCGGGAGCCTCTCGTCGGTGATGAGAACCAATGAGCCCACTTGTATGTCGTTGGATGGGTGATGCCACGTCGAGATTGCTTGTTGTCGTTGCAGATATTGAGCTGACCATTGAGACCAAAATTGCTGTACTCGCTGTTGTATGAATTGCCATAGGGATAACCTTGAGGTGGCTAAGTCCTTCAGTGACGGCTCCGGTACTGATGTGAGAGCACTTCCGATGAGAAAATGTCCTGGGGTGAGCGCTGAGATGTCATCTGAGTCGTCACTGAGTGATTCGAGAGGTCGTGAGTTCAAGATCGCTTCAATCTGAGCAAGCAGGGTTGTCGTTTCTTCGAATGTGAGCAACGTCTCTCCTATGGTACGACGCAAGTGGTGTTTGAGTGATTTTACCACTGCTTCCCATTTGCCACCCATGTGTGGAGCAGCTGGTGGATTAAAAATCCATTAAATGCGATCTTGAGCAAGCAGAGATGAGATGCGCCGGTTATCTTGAGAACTCTCTGTGAACAATGTCTGGAGTGATTTCTCTGCTCCGACAAAGTTTGTGCCACAGTCAGAGTACAATGAATGAGGGATGCCTCTTCTTGAGACAAATCTTCTGTACGTTGAGATGAATCCGTCCGTTGAGTAGTCTGAAACAACTTCTAAATGAACTGCAGATGTGGTGAGACAGACAAACACACAAATCCAGCCTATGTGAGTTTTGGCTCCTCTTTCCTTCCATGTTTTGAGTGTGAGTGGTCCAGCGTAATCAATGCCAGTATGCGTGAATGCGCGTGAGGGTGTGACCCGAGGTAGAGGTAGTTGGCCCATCAGTTGATGGGCACGAATCCCCCTTTGTCGAGCACACACCACACACCGCAAGATATGAGATTTTACTGGAGCACGTCCACCGATGATCCAATATGATTGCCTGATATGCGCCAAGGTGAGTTGCGTTCCTCCATGTAGTGTCCGTTGGTGGGACCAGCTGATGATTAATTCAGACAATCTCGAATGGCGAGGGAGTATTGCAGGGTGTTTGCCTTCATAATTGAGGGTGGAATTCTTGAGTCGTCCTCCCACACGAGCAACTCCTTGATGATCAATAAATGCTGTGAGACGACTGAATGGATGAGAAGTTGCTAGACGTGATTGTGAGCTGAGCATCTTCAGCTCATGCGCAAAAAATGTTGATTGTGTAATCTTGATCCAGAAGATTTTAGCTTGCTCTAAGTCAGCGACTGAGATATGTGAGGCTTGAGGGCCATCGTGTCGATTTCTCAATCGTCGAATAAATACCTGACAGAGAGCTGTGATTCTGAGCAGTCGATTGAGCGATGAATACTTGTAGATGAGATCCCAGTCGTAATCCACCTTCATGTTAGTTGTGAAGAGTGACACTCCTGGACGCGATTCTGTTGTACACTGCTCGTCCGAGCACGTTGGTTGAGCGGGCCAGCGATCTTTCGGTTGAGCCAACCATGGTGGTCCTGCCCACCACAAGGTATGATCTTCAAGTTGAGCTGTCGTTACACCATGAGATGCACAGTCAGCCGGATTGATTGTACCTGGAACAAATTTCCAATGAGCATGTATCGTGAGTTCTTGGATTTGTGATACCCTGTTGCGCACATAATCCTTCCATCGAGATGAGTGTGTTTTGATCCATGTGAGCGTCACTTGAGAGTCCGTCCATAAATATGTTTCCTTGATGTCCATTTTGAGTGTGGCATGGACATATTTCACCAATTTTGAGAGAAGCAGCGCTGCTGTGAGTTCTAGCCTTGGGATAGTGAGCCTCTTCAATGGAGTTACCTTTGTTCTTGAGCATATGAGAGAAGTTTTGGCGTCCTTGGACGGCGTGTGCACGACCATGTATACGACTGCAGCCATGGCAAATTGAGATGCATCAGAAAAGCCATGTAATTCAACCGTTGAGTCACTGCTTGTGTTGAACCAGCGTGGAATTGAGAGCCTGGCCAGGCTTGTGAGATCTTTTCTGATGTTGAGCCACCGCGAGACAACTTGAGATGGTAACGGTTCATCCCAGTTGATCTTGTGGAGCCAGAGTTCTTGAAGAAGCATCTTGGCTCGTATTACGATTGGTGAGACAAAACCAAGTGGATCAAATATCTGTGCCACTTCAGATAGTACACGTCGCTTGGTGAGCTGTTCTTGGTGAGAAATTGAGCTTGTTGAGAATGTAAAAACATCTTGAGGCAGCCACTTTAATCCGAGGATTTTGGTTGCGCAATCGTCAAGTGAGACTGGTGAGTTGATCGAGACTGTCAATGAGATGGCGTTTAACAATTCTGGATGATTGGAGTGCCATTTGGCAAGAGGAAATCCGCCCGCCTGGCAGAGATCTTCTAATTGATGGGCAATTTCTATGAGCTGTTCTGCTGTGTCACCACCACAAAAAATATCATCCACGTACCTCCCACGAGTGATTGATGGCACTGCCAGTGGAAATCGATGGCCTTCATCTTCGGCCAGTTGCATGAGTGTCCTTACTGCGAGAAATGGAGCGGCCTTCGTTCCATAAGTGACCGTGGTGAGATGATATGATGTTTCATTGTGATGTTCGTCGATCCACAGAATGCGCTGCAGATCCCAGTCTGAGTGGTGTACCTTGATTTGTCGGTACATCTTTGTTATGTCTGTGGCAAAGATGTACCTGTAACTACGAATCCACAAGAGAACGTCTGAAACATTGAGCAATAGATTTGCACCAGTGTGCATGAGATCGTTTACAGATAATCCTGATGAGGTCGGACTTGAGCCATTAAAGACAACCCGCAGTTTTGTTGTTGTACTGTCGGGTTTGAGCACACCATGGTGAGGCAAATAATATGGCGGAACATCGGATGATGGTTGTGATCCAACTTTCACCATGTGCTTGAGTTGTTCATACTCGCTCATGAATTTGGTGTAGAGGCTCTGATATTCCTTGTCCTTGTTGAGTCATCTGAGAATGCGCTGGAGACAATAGTGAGCCGTACTGTGTGAATGCCCTAAGAAACTGGTTGGAAGCTTGAGCGGGATGCGTACAATGTATCGTCCCGTTGGATCTCTAGAGTGTGTGGCCTTGTAATGATCTTCACATTGTTGTTCTTCCAAGGTAAGCTGGTCTGTTGCATCAGTTGGTAGCTCTTCTTGCACCCAGAACCTTGTCAGCAATTCTTGAAGATCGAGATCGTACTGTTTAACCTTGATGTGATGCGCAGTCGACAATTGTGATGGTGACAAGCTGACTGGACCAAGCACTAGCCAACCAAATATTGAGAGTTGAGCGATTGGCATGTCAGGAGATCGTTTAATGATGTTGGGCTTGATGATCTGCCCGTATGAATCAGCTCCAATGATGATGTCGATTGAGCGTGGCGTGAGGAACTGTGGGTCTGCCAATGTCAGAGGTTCTATGTGTGGCCACGTTTGTTGAGGTGCTGTAAAAGATGGTAGAATGGTCGTTAGTGTTTTGAGGACGTGGGCTTGAATGATGGCAGTATGCTTAGAATGATAGGAGTGAAGCGTGAGTGTCACCACGCCCTTGGTCCTAGTCGTTTTCCTGGCTCCAATGCCAATGATTGAGACAGTTGCGTGTCGACGTTGTATGTTGAGTTGTCTGACGAGATCCTCCGTGATGAATGTGAGCTCAGATCCTTGATCGATGAGTAGCCTTGCTTGATGTGTTGAGACCGTTGAGTGTATGCATGCCATTGCAGTTGCAAGTAGCGTTGAATAATGTGCGTGAGCTTGAATTGATTCCTTGACGATTGCGGTGGTCTTCCGTTGTGCTGGCGTGAGATCTCTGAACTTGGAGCACGTTACAATGAAGTGCTGTCCATTGCACAGGTCACACGGGTGAGCCGCAGCAGAGAATGACTGAGAATGTGTGGGAGCAGATACTTGGTGAGCAGTCACCCTTTTCATCGCAGATTTAGATGAACTGGGTGTGACTTCCAATGAGTGGTCCGAGGGAGAAGGTGTGACCTCCACCCTCTCCATTGCTCGCGCCCTGGCATTGAGGAAGGTTTCAAATTTCGCAAAGCGGGATACTCTTGAGATGATCCAAGCGAGGTTTCCCACGCCTCTCTGGTGTCTCTATCCAGGAAGCGTGACACGTGATGGACCAAGAAGCAATTCCACATGTGCTCCGCCATGCCAAGCGAACTCAGAGCCTTATCAATCTCGGACACCGTTGAGACTAGCTTGGTGAGCGATGCGGCGTTCTTGGGTAAGGCATGTGAGAGGTTAAGGAGACCGTCAAGGTGAGCCTGTATGATGAGTCTCTTATTATCAAACCTCGAGGTGAGCAGCTCCCAGGATGGCTGGAGAGATTCTCCGGTGAGAGGTAAACCTCGAATGAGCTGTTCCGCTGAGCCCTGCACACAGCCTCTGAGATAGTGAAGTTTCTCCACGTCATTGAGCTTTGAGTGCTGCAAGATTACAGAGGAGAAAAGATCACGAAATGTGGGCCACGTTGAGTAGTCACCATTAAATTTGGGCAACTTAATGTCTGGCAAACGTGAGTGGACTGGCTTTTCCGGATCAGGAGAGGCTGCACGCGGTGAAGATGGTGTGAGTCGCTGTTTGACCTTGTTGAGCAGTAGCTTAGCTGAGATCACGAGATGAGCTTCCTTTTCATGGATGTTGTCCGCAAAATATTCATGATCCAAATATGCCTCAGGCCATGTTATCTCGAAATAAGCGTGCTCCTTCAAGAACGCCTTGTGTAGCTCCTCCAATTGAGACAGCGCTGCTTTGACCTCCCCTAGTGATGTGCTCTCGGGGTCAACAACCTTCGCGTCTGCAATGAGTTTTATGGTATTGAAACGACTCATTTGAGATCTCACCTTGAGTGTGAGCTCGTTGGAGAGACGAGCTGGAGAAGTCTGACGTGAGCTGCGTCCTTGAGTGTTGCCAGAAGCTGTCCCCTTGGGGGCGGTCTGTTGACCAGGCACATTGAGGGTGAGAGGAGATTGCCGACCCGAGGTTGTCTCTTCTTCAGCATCTGCTTTGGCGGCCTTCTCTGGGTCAGGCATGATGAGCGGAACACGGTGATAACACTACACCACACGATGAGCACCACTGAGCAGCACGAGCCACCGAACAGACTGAGAGCCGATATCGTTGGTTCGCCACGAAACAGCGAAGTTCAAATTCACAGTCACAGCTGCTCGATTTGCCCGCGAGAATGTCACTTCGTTACTGCGTGATCACGTCGTGACAACACTGAGATGGCAGTGAGTCCTTGTCACGAATGGCGCACGTGATTACAAGGAAACGCACTGAATTTATGCCGTACGCTATATGAGAAAAGATCGAGTGCTCGTAAACGAATATTGAGTGTCACGTCACCACGATGCATCCGGCTCGAAGGACCAAATGTTTGGGAAATTTCTCCCTTTCGAATCTCGTCATGAGATCGAAAGATCGCGAAATCTCCGTGAGCGCTGCGAGTGGATCGGGGGGTGAGAAAGGACGTGCAACGTGGCGAGAATGACTACGATTCAGTTTCTTTAAAATGAGTTGAACGTTTAATTGTATTTACACCATGTACAGTTGAGATTTACCGAGGCGTATGATTGAGGTGAGCGAGTCCGTCGAGCTCTCTTGTTCGCACAAGACCGTCGGGGATGTGCCGCCCGTTGAGCCGGTGGCCGGCTACAAGCGAGCGTGCACGTACAAAATGAGAGGCCTTTGCGCAGAACACCGATGCACTCGACTTGAGCACTTAACCAATGATTCTGTCCCGGGGTGAGCCCTAATTATCAATGTGAGCGAACAAGCACTGACATCGCACTTATTCCCGTGAGCGCGAGCGCGATACTTTTCGTATGTCGATGCGAACTTTACCACAGCTTACACCGGCTGCTTTCACACGACTGATGAGCTCTGTGAGCTTGCGCGCAAGCCCTCGAGCCATGTTCACGGGCCCGACACGTGCTCGTTACCCGGTCGCGCGGTCGCGCGCGCGGTACCACTGGGCCTCGCGAATAACCGTGAGATGGCGAGGGCAGTACAATTGAGATAACTGGAGGAATCTCAAACAGAGGTCTATTCAACATCCATCGTGGAGATAGATGTTCCATGGAACTATGGAGGTTATATGGACGTCCAATGGACGTCATGTTCTGAATGGGTATAGTTGTATACATATAACTATAAATATATTCGTCTATGATAAATATTAATAAATATGTATATGAACAAATATATTTTATGCGACTTTTATTTAATATATATGTATTTAATTAAATATATACAACTCTCCCTTCACAGAGTTATCTATATTTCATATAATGCCCAATATTGGGTGTAAAAATTAATACCTATAATGATGAGAACAAAATTTTTGTAAGTTCTATGTTGTCGAGATTTGCTCAGATCCGGAAAGATCTGCTCAGATCTGGAAAGATCTCATGCATAAT